CATTTCTCCACCTAGGGCACATGTAAATACAATTGTGTACCTGTGTACTGGTAAATATAATGATTGCTTCCAAAGATGGTAGCGTTTCCTCTAAAAGTAGTTTGAAACGATCCCTTGATTTATCTGCCATGTTGAATGTGAATGTGAGGTCCCCATGCTCTTGAATAACAGGTGGCTGACCAGTCAGAACGACGGATTGAGTAATTCATTAAATCTGACCAATCAGGATTTTTACGTTTGTCTGGTGGACGAAAAAAACAAAGAAAACAATAGCGTCCTTGCAGGCCATCCCTCCCCCTGCACTCATTTTGACCCTTTCCCTTCCCTTCTACAGCCTGCCATGCAGGCTAGTTGGTACATACATTGTAGATACATCTTGATATGGTGAAAGACTTAAGAGACTAGTCTCTAAACAGTCTCTCTTTTGCTTGGTCAAAATAAAATAAATATAATTTATAAGGAATTCAAAATGATACATTTTTTTTTGAATTTCAGAGGATTGGATCAGCTCCATTTAGCTGTTCTTCATCCAAGAAAACTAGCTGTGTATAGTGTGTCAGGTAAACCACCAACAATCTGCTTACAAGTGTGAATTATACTCATTAATTACTAGTCCCGAGGGAAACAGTTAGTTTTGTTTTCCCTCAGAATCTTGATATTTCCTGGGACGAAATATTTAGCCATTGCCATGTGACCATGAATCATCTAATAATAGTGCACGATATACAATGTATTCAACTAAACTTCAGCTATATTATACAAGATTCATTACACTGTATAATGAAGTTATTGTACAAAATGGGTGCTTACCATTTGTCAGAATAAACCAGTTAAGATGACTGGTGAATAGTGATAAGGGTTTTTCCAATATCAGTAAACCAAACGAATGAGATGGCTCTTTCCATTTCCATTTGATTTTCTGTAACTGTTTTTGGCTGATGAGAGACTGGAATCTGAAGAATTTAGCAAATGGCAAGGAGATTTCTGCTGTTCTGTACCGAACAGAAAAAGACGACTACCTCTGGAGGCAGTCTGTAATTTCAGAATGGATTTTCCAGAAAATCTCTGTTGTATTTGACTTTCAACCGAAATTTTCCGGAGTTTTTGGCTAAACAGTAAGCACCCAATGTATTTTGCTAGTAATTGGTCCATTCCAAAGATAATTTTGTTTTCTGATGTTACAAGGTACAATGTAGTTTCTACAACTTTAGAAGAATCAAATAGTTCTCACAACAAAAGCTGTGTACAACATGATTCTGAGACAATATTTGGTGAAAGACAGATTTCTGCTGGTGGGCCCATTTTGTTATGTGCTGGTTCCTGAATATACATTGAATAAAAGAAATTGTACTGTCCTTAAAATCCTGGAAAGTCCTGGTCTGAATGGCAACTTCTCCAGGACTGCAAGGTCATTTGTAGGAACATTTTTTTGTTGTTGTTTAATTACTAAAAAATACATGTGAAATCTACTAAACACATGTACATACGTTTTGTTCTTTTTTCAACAGTTATTTCAGGAGCTGTCGAGCATGGAAATCACTACACCCTTAAACTGATGTATGAACACATTTTGGAAAGAACAGCTTACAATATGACATATGGACCTTTTGGTGGTGTCAAAAGTAAGTGTCTCTCACAGTTACTAGCTATATGTAATAAAGTGAGCTGAGCAAAAATTAGTTATTTTCCAAGTGCACTGGCCCATGTAACTTCAGTTTCTGTTGCACAAAGCACTTTAACTTGATCCTGGCATTGTGATGATTTTTGTTAGTAGGAAAAGACCAAGGTTTTTTGCACCTTTCACCCTCGTTGGTGCTCATCTAAATGGACACCAACATGGCGTCTCCATACAAAGCTCAATAAATCTGGGTGAAATGCTTCTCCAAATAACTTGTGAATGAAAACCCCCAGACCTAGATCTTTGTGAGGTTTATATATCAATCATCCATCATATCCCAGATTCTTGACTTTGTTTATTGAATGGTTATGATTTATATTTTTGATGGCATGACAGTGAAAACCAGCAATTATTATTGTTCTACTTAGGTAGAATTGTATCCAATTTATCTTCTCTCTCATTACATACATTTATTACATGGCTTGTGATTGTAGCAGAAATTATAGCGTGCACTCTGATTGGCTAGCTCTAGGGCATAATTATTCTCTTGTAATATCCATAGTATGATTACAGGCCTGCAAAAACAAAACAGAAAGCCATAAATTATAATGAACAACTTAAATTAACATCAGACGTTTGGTCCCTGTGGGAAAATCTCAAAACCTTGGCCTTGCCCTATTGACCTCACTGTCACTCGGTCAACGCAGCAAGTACTCAGTTTGAGGTTTTCCAGTTAATAAGCAGTTAGTACATGCACATGTACGTGTTCCTGAAAAAAGTCCACATTAGTACCTTTTATTTGTCTATTAAACACATACAGTTGTTTTTTAGGTAAGGATTTCATTTGCATTCAGTCCATGGATGGCATGTTGTCGTTCTTTGAACAAGAGAGTTTTGCTTTTGGAAGATTTCTTCCTGGTTTTCTGTTACCTGGTCCCTTGAGTTATATTGGAAAGACTGATTCATTCCTGACATGTAGTTCATCAAGAGTGGTGGAATCATACAAGTGAGAAAATTAATAAATAACTGATTCAGTTTAGAACCTTCTTTCCAACCAATTGCGGGGGTTTCATTAACTTTTTCATCAGGAGGGCGACTGGTTCTCACAGGTTTGCAAAATGTTTTGAACTGAACTTCTTTATAAGAAAATCTTTTCCCTAGATTGTGAAACCAGGTGGGCAAAATCATCCTTGCAGCCAGTCAATTTGCCCGATGCCTGGCCCTTAATGAAATCCCTGCAATTGCCCCCTTTTATTAATCAATTTCCCTTCATTAAAATTTGATTGTTTTTACTTTTTATTAAGCACCCCTTCCCAATAGGTGCCCCCATTGTGAAAATGATATTTGACGTGTGGGTATCTGTTTGGTTATAACTTGTGTTTAATTAATTTTTACCTTGCAACAAGCAATCACCCCGAGATACTTCAGATTTTTTGCAGAGCTATGTTGTTGTTAAATGTGGAACGTTACTTTATAGTGGTCGGTGCGCTTAGCGTCAACTGGCTTGTTCTCAGTCGTGACACTTAAACTGAAAAAAGAAATAAAATTATTTGGAATAAACATATTAATAGTCTTAAAAATCTCGACTGGCGGGAGTCAGATCAGACGAGGGCTATTTACAAGCATGACCAAGGAGTTGAACTAAGGTCTACTGAGAAACAACTCCAGCTTAGTGGTCAGAGTGGGACTTGAGCCCGTTAAGTAATCAGTATGGTATGGTATGTTCTATGTCAAATCTCGCACATCTTTTGAAGGCGTTGGCTAATGGTAAATTCAAGACATCACCACTGCTGAAACAATTGGCTGCAACTGTTAAATTTTGTCTTGTTTTGTTTTTGCAGATACCAGACTCTAGCTGTTGCTACTGACGCTAATACAAAAGAGGACATTGGAAATAAAAAAGTCTCAGGAAAAAAATTAACGGTACTTAAAACCTGAGTGATAGCAAGACTTTACATTAAATATGGATGTCAGACTAAATATAGAATGAAGTTCGCCTAAATTAATTCTATAAAAATTACCACACAGCTGTAAATTCATATATTTTCAACTCACAACACCTCATGCAGTGTAATTTGTGCCATAAGTTGTAGGACTACAGCAGAAAATGTTTCAGCTTTGTTCTGTCATTTTAATTAAAGGTAATATCCATGCTGCCGTTACATTTTCTATGTACATGTATGTGTTCATACTTGCACAATGTAAATGTACCTGTCTTTATTTACTTTTATTTATTCTGACGTACTTATTATGTGCAAGAGGCTTTATTTATTATAATATTGATGAATTGCGACGTGTAATTACTTTCTGTATTCCTTAGTATTAATTTGTATTAACTGGTGTTAAACTTAATTAATAGTGATAATAATATTAAATTAAAATAATATAGAAATTTATGCCTCGACCAATATTCAAATAATTGTGATTCAGAAGTATAAATTTCTCATTGTTGTATTTTGCAGATGGACTGGACAGCAAATATTGGAGAGCATGCAATAGACATAGTTGTTTTCAGTAGTACATATGCACCAATTTCAATATTTGTCTTAGGTGAGAGTATTTTTAGTTACTAGTAAACAACTTACAAGAAATCAATTATTGTTTCCCACTACAAATATTTACATACACAGATTGTTTTCATTTGTACACTGAAATGGACTGCACTGGGAGCTAATCCTTGTAGTATTAAAACACTTGTACACAGAGTTCACATTTACGCACAAATTGTGCGTATACTATATATACGCATTAAACTTTCATAGGATGAACAAACACAGGGCCTGTCGCATCCTTTGGATGCACAGAATTAAATGAAATTTGAATAACATCAAATAGCAGAAGAAAATGTGAAAGAAAAAATAAGTTACCAAATTGTATAAAAGCAGTCTTACTCCTAAAGGCCTTGACTTTAATCCAAGAAAAGGAAAGTGAATTCAATATTATTGAAGACGCTTGTTAATAAACTTGAATAAACATACAAAGGACTCAACATGGCAGCCAAATTAGATTGCTTCGAGACTTTCTCTCTCTCTCTCTGTCCTGTGAGGGTTATGATGTAAAAACCTTCGGATGAAAAATGGCACCAAAAGGGACTTTTTTTTCAGACATTCAATTTATGAGGATGCTAAATATTGTACAGGACCACTAGAATTTTGAAGCTGAGGGACCCAGGATGCTTTGATTGCAAAAACTAATGCTGACACTGCTTGTAAGAGGGTTAGTTTTAGAGACACTGTGATCTCCTGTCTTAGTTTATTTTATCTTAAGGTTGCATCATGCTGAATTTGTTTATTGATGTCAGAATGTTTTGGCTTGCAGGTGAGCGCTCACTGTTCTGTCTCAATGATAATGGATCAGTGAGATTCATGAAAAAATTTGAATACAATCCCAGTTGTTTTATCCCATATGCTTCAGGTAAGAAAATTAATCTAATAAAATATGGGCAATAACTTGGCAATGACTTGTAGTGGGGGTGCAGTGGCCTCATGGTTATAGTGTACTTGCCTCCGGATCAAGCAGTCCGGGTTCAAGGTTTGGCCGGAGACATTGTGTTGTGTTCTTAGGCAGGACACTTTACTCTCACAGTGTCTCTCTCTCCACCCAGGTGTACATATATGTATTTCTACTCCCAGGGGGCAGTAGAAATACTCCTAGTCACTTCATGCTACTGAAACTGGGAGATAAGTGCTGGCCTGATGGACCACTTGGCCTGTATGCAGACACCTAATAACTAGGCAATGCATTTAATAAACTCTCCCACATTCACAGTAAAATGATATTTGTGTATTATTTTCTTAGGGATGTGATTTCCAAAGAATCATAGATCGATTAACTTGCAGTACCTATTAAAATAAAATTGGACAATGCATAGTTATGAGTAACATTGACAAATTGTAAACATTTTATGTAAAAAAAAAAAAAAAAAATTATGGCATATAGATAATGTAAAGTGTTTAATGTGCACTTCATAAGATTCAAACATGTGTTCTTTATGCAGAGCTTTTAGCCAGTCAGTGAACAGTTGCTGAGATATTGCTGATCTTACTAATCCCTGTGATTTGTACAAATTTGATTTCAGTGGTTGAAGGGAGTGTAAATGCTCTGATTGCAACCTTCAACAAAACTTTGATGATTTACCAAGATGTTGCACTAGCGTGGGCTGCACAGCTTCCCCACATCCCTGTTTCTGTCAAAGTAGCATCATTTCAGTAAGTTAGCAACTGATTAGTATCTGAGGAATAACACTTGGTTATTTTTTTGACAAAAAAAAAACATGATTGTTTATAATGGTGTTCCTCTATCCCAAGGTGATATGAAAAGTTTGAAAAATTCAGAACAGAAATTAACTTGTCAGCTTTATACCTTGGCTTCCTATGGGATTAAGGGATGTTTTCCAATTGGCCTGCTGGCCAGCCCGTAATGAACCTCATTACTTAAGGAATACTGTTTTTTTTTTTTTTAAAAATTTTTAAACTTTGACATGGTCCCCATTCTTGCCAGTCATTGACCATTGGCTGGGTGTAGTATTGTATTACAGTTTTTCACACTAAGTTTGTTGTTTCTTGTCGATTTGTAATCCAGAGAACTACAAGGTGTAATAGTGACCCTTGATGATACAGGCTATGTACACTGTGCGTATCTGGGAACCGATCCCTCAATGATGGTGACGCCAGCTCCTGAAGCTAGGGATATTAATTATGAGGTAAGCACAATTATTGGTTTGCAGGAATGCAGGTAAAAGTGCACCTCTTTAGGGGGAGGGGGGTGGAGATGAGGATTGAGGGAAGGGTTGGGCGGGAAGGGCTGCCATTGGGCAGTTCTCATTTTACCATTGCCTGACCCTGTACATCCTCCTAAACCCCCTGTTTACTGCATCCATGCAGGACCTTTCAATGTCATAAAGGACATTTTCTGTGTACATAGAAAAAACTTTAGGGTAGAATATAAGGGGAGTTCAAAATCTGCATGTACTGTAGTACATACTGTACCAACAAGACTACTGCCATGCAAAAACCCTTCAGGTTCATAACAGTTTATCATTCTGACTACATGTACACGTAGTGTCCAACCGTTATTGTTAAAGCAGTTACTAAAATTTTGGTTTATTATGATCTTTGTTTTTACTTCCCATCCATTTCTCCACTCCCCTTAAACTCTCATAATGCCTCTGCAATAATCAAGAGGTTAAGCATGACGTTGACGGCAGACGGCAAACAGCAAAGACAACTTGTGATTTTGAATTCTTTTCTTCTATATGGCATCCTCGTCTCGGAGAGGCGATGGTCAGCGTATCAGTGTCGACAGGCTCTTGAGTGACTCAAAAGCCCGATTCTTGAGTGGCAGTCTTTGTTGCAGCTGGTACAGATGTAGTTAGTGGCCTCACGAACTGATACTTGTCGTTCCTTTCTCGCCGCCCGCTTGATTGTCGCCTCG